TTTATTTATATATCATGTTCAAGGATAGCTTGGTTTATAGTACGGAGCGTTCTCGTAGAGAGTTTTATCAGCGTTTTTGAGAAAAAACAGATGCAAAATCTAAATAATAACTATTCACTTGTTACAATTGCTTTTTGTGGACGTGTCCCCTTGGTAATGGGTTTCCGGTCGGTGGGCGGAACCGTCTCCCATGGAAGGATGAGAGCGTCGTAGTCTGCGGCGTTGCAGGTGTGGCGGGGAAGGCGAGTGTAGCGGGGAGAGGAGTGGCGGGGATGAGCGAGGCGCGGCAGGGCGAGAGTGAAGAGAGGGAGGAAGGTGAGGCGGTAGGATTCGCAGAGAGCCAACACAGAAACGCGGATGACGCCGGCTGCGCTGACCTCCTCTGCGCCCCCCTCCAGTGCAGCTGCCCCCTCCCCGCCCCGCTCTGTGTAACGGAGACACAGGCAGCCTTTTAAACGCAGGCGGGGCGGAGGCGGGGCGGGGCGGGGCGGAGGCGGCGCGGCAACGGCCACCGCCGCTCGCCCGGCGCCTGCTGCGCTTCTGGCGACGACGCAGCCGAAGAGGAAGGTTCTCTTTCCTCAATGGCGCAGCCAGTGAATTGTTCTTTCTTCCTCCTCTGCCCCTGCTTCGTTTTATCATACTCTTTTCCTTTAAGTTTTTCAGCCATCTTCTCCTTTTCTTAATACACCTTCTCCTCATCTTCTTCCACTCATTTTTTCATTCTCTTTTTCTTCTTTTCTTCTCCTCCTTGTGCTACGTCAATAAAGATGTGTTGGCGATCGAGTGGAGAAGACAGTTCATAGATTTTAGGTAACAAGTAATGTTGACTTAGATTAGACCGCTGGCGACTGCTCTTTTGGCCGTATGTGACTGTCATACTTCAGTAGGGCAGTGGCCTTTATGGCGGGCCAGGTGTGTTACTAACCAATGTCACTATTTGTAGCTACTTCTGTTGTAACGCGAAAGTCCGTCTCCAACAATAAAGTAGACGTCAGTTTCTTATTGACCTCTGGCGCGCTTGGCTCGAAATAACCTCATCCCTCTGAACATGCCAATTAACATTGAATCCTGTAAATCCAAAAGCAATAGTTTATATATAACGGGTATACTGTTCTTGTGTTATAGAGTTAGCGGTACGTATATTTTTCGTTGTATTCGTTTTGAGAATAATGAAGTTTGTGAATGGCTGATAAATTAATACATCATTATAAATCAGTTTTGTTTCTTCTACAGAACGTTCAAAAGGCGAAGTGAAGTCTTCACAAAAGCTCAGAATTTTGAACGCAACCTCGAGCTAAATTTTGATATTTGCAACAAATGTGAAGTGCCGATAGCGTAATTACGAAATAACCAGCATTCTCTAAAAGTGGAACAATTTCAAGGGTTTCGGGATTTTGTTGTCAGCCAATCAGCAGAACGACACCAGTTAGTTTCAAGACTTTACTCTTAAAATTGAAAATAGGAAAAGAAAACATACGAAAAATAAAAATACAGAAAACGTCGCGTATTTCACGTACTACAATTTCAAAAGGGAAATACGTCTGATGGTCTAATGAAATTGATTGCTGATGCTGCTTACACATTGCGGGAGCCTAAACGTATTGATGTTGTGTGTAAGGATCTACCGAATATACTTACAGTACTTGGATGTGATGTCTAACACTGAACTCAGGGCTTTCACAAAGAAAGAAAGAAAAGATTGTTTTATAAATATTTTAATGTTTCGCTCAGTAGATGAGTAAGTTTTGCTGCTACAAGTCTCTCGTTTTTTGTGTTTAATTTATTTTTTATTTCCGGCGACTGATGAATGAATGAAAACTTTGATGTACTTTATGATTTGATATCATCTACAAATTGACATTCCGAATTCGCATTTTATTTAATGGAAGATACTGCTGACAGAAATGGCTATCTAGCACATATTTTAGCTTACTGAAGCGCCTCTTTATCCAGTGAGCAGTTATTCACAATTCTGACATTCATTCTGTGCTCCAATTAGGCTCAGAATTAATTAATGAGTATTGCATTTCCCTGTTGCATCCTTAGATTGCTGTCGATGACGTCATCAGTTTGACCATGAAACCGCTTGAACCTTCCTCTTGGCAGATCGTTGGCAAGATAGCGGATATTCTGGCTGATGACCGGCCGTCTCAACATCTACGGCCCAGCTGAGAAATAGGAGAAACTGCAAATGCAATGCTTTATAAGTCAATTATAGAAAGACATGTTAAACAGTAAAAATAATGTAGATTGAGTTAGCTCAAAGACAACGTTACCGTTGACTCAGCAGCTTCTCTGAACGGGATGTCCTAGGGTCTAATCCCTACCTTGGCGGATTTTCGGTACTAATTATTTCGCTATTCCGTCAAATCCAGCCGTTGCTGCCAGGAGGAGAATACTAGCAACCGGCTTCTTCTGTTGTTAGTTTTCGGTGTTTTTTCCCAACGATTACAGGCAACGATTACATACGAGGCGACATCATCGCCTTGGGATGTAATATTAACTACACTAACGGGTGTGATGAACGTTGGCGTGCCTGAAAACACCAGTCTATGAATAATCGAATGTGTTTTTAACGAGGCACACCCTGTGGGTGACTAGGGATTTAAATTGTGTACGATTGTTGTATTTTTGACAGTGGTAAATATAAAGTGAAAAAATTACATTAAATATCTAAAATAAATTATTTCAAAATCTCCTTGGGATTTGAGCCTGTTGGGAAATGTGCCTTATGTGCCACGAAAAAAAGAGATGAAAATGTGCAAATTATACGCAAAATGTAGCGTATAATATATCCGTCAGTTTAATGTAGAAAGTAAGGTATTTGCCGAGGCTCCCCGAAAGGAAGTTCAGGGAAGGGTAACTGGGTCTGATAGTTGGGAAGTACACATCCCTTGAGGTTTGACTACCCGACGAGTGGGAGTTGTCAAATGCATCTCCCATGTTAACGTGTTAACACAAAACATCCTTGAGTCTGCCCAACACACAATTATCAACGCATTTTATGCGAATACCCTCCTTAAAAATCATTTGGTCTGCATATTTTCATAATGTTTCCCAGGAAAGTTTCCATTTTCGTGCCTTGTGTTTGCTCCACAAGTTTTCTCCTCCGCGAATACTCACGCGTGTCAACCAATCGTGCCACAAACTGCGTTTTAGCCTCAATGTAAGATATACGGTATGGTATAATCACGGTGTTTCTTGCATCGTGATTTGAGCCGCCCCTGAGCTCTAGGATGAGCGCGTCGCAGCGCATGCGCTGTGGGCGGCGAGGGGCGAAGACGGCTCTCGCTTTCCGGCGGTGAGGCGTTATCGGCACGTCCGCGTCGCCACACGCGCAGTCACGCTCGCTCTCGGCGCCACACACACACACACACACACACACACACAAACATACATACACGACTCGGCCACCTGCGCTTCCATCCTCAGTGAAATCCAGTAGTGATGCGACATCGCTGACTAAAACCTCTGTATTCAAACATAGATGTTCAAAATCATATGTGTAAATCATCGATATAAGCAATACATTGACCAAAAACCGACAATGTTTTTAAACATCTATGTTTTAACACTGGTTGTTTAACCTCAAACATTAAATTTGTGTGCAACAGATTTGACAATGGCCTAGATCATTAATTTAGAATTAAGATTTGAGTGAAAACTTAAGTTAAAAAGTCTTCTCCGTGTGCGTTGTGGTCATCTCAGCCAAATAGTAGTTGGAGTGATCCCGTACAAAAAGTGCTCGTTTGAATCGAATTCATAAATGAAATTTCTTATTTTACTTTTACAAAATTTTGATTATGGGGATTTTTCATTCATAAAACTTTGAGCCCAAAACATTGATGTAAAAAAATCATCGACTTTAATATATCGATGTTTAAAAGTCAATGTTTTCAAACCATCGACATCGATTCAAATCCCTAGAAACTTCTATTGACTATTTCCACTTTTAGTTGTTTTTTTTTTTCATTTAGGTATTATGACGTTTGATTCATTGATGTTTCTGGGCGCATTAGTCCGTAAGTGTAGTGAATGTTTTATTCCTAGCGCTGGCGGTGACCCCCGCTGGAACTTGAGATCCAGTGACGCCCTGCCCGTAGGTTTACGCATTTCAGTAAAATATCTGTAGGTATCTCCCCCAGAGGGGCACCGATTCAGCTCTGAGCTCCCGGCGGCTCTAGGATCACGTGTGGTATTGTTGGTCATGTTAGTTGTCCTCCTCTCTCCTTACACACACTCGCACACCAAGTATGTAGTTCTGTAAAATATTTTAATTCTGTTCATTTTTGTTACGTGAACAGCTGTAAGGTATCAGTTACAGAATTTCCGTCGATAGCCATTTTACACATGTGACAGAAGTGTCTGGTCCTGTGAGGATAAGGCGAAAATGCGTGCACCGCATTAAAAAGAAATTAATTTGTACACCGTCCTTGCATTTTAATTGGAAAAACTTCCCGGGTGTACTTAAAGGTGGTTAGAGTATAATTGCCATTGGATCATCCAACTTCTTTAGAACTACTTTCATTGTGGCTACCATCCCAACTGTGTTAGACCATCCATGTGAATTAACACTTCCTCTGATAATTACGTCTTGATGCTATCAGTAATACCGTAGCAACGTTGAAGAGAAGCAAGACTAGTTAAAGAAAGATAGTTGGATTTCCGAGAGATGAGAACATGGAATGCGACGAGAAACTTGTTAATTCAAAACATTCTGCTTTTCGTCTCATACATTTGCTAATTGGATTCCACGTCTGCATTCACTCTTGAAATTAAGGCTTAAATGCCTCGATGTCGGGAAATATAAATCCGTGCCTAAACTTCTGTATTACAATATCAATCAGTTCTTGAACCATCTGTAAACACGTGAATCATCCAATACCAACAACAACATCAATGAACTTCCTTTGTGTTGGCAATGCCAGTAAAATAATAAATTATGTCATAGAAATTAGTTCTGAGTAACTATGTGGAATAAGTAAATAAACACTGAAATAATGTTCTTGTCCTGGTGAGAGTAATCAGGAAACATATGGACAGCACACAGAATAATGTATCCCAACCAAGGGCGGGGGACTTGTATTCCTTCATACACACATATTCCTTTTTTAAAACTTATGTTCTATAGTAATGAAAGTCATTCGAAACGGCAGTTGAATGGGTTACAAAATAGTATGAATCAACGAATAACAATTATATTAAAATTCATCACAAATGAGAGGGGTCGCCTGGTATCCAAAGTTTGGGGAGAGCGTAATTGTAATTATATTTAGCCATATATGTCCCGTAAAGGGCCGTACTTGGCCTCAGCGCCGTTAGGTTAGTCACCCAACCAGGTACCCGCGATGTCTCGAATTCACTTAACCTTCGTGACTTCCCCCAGTTAACGAATTCGGCCAGCGACTTTCACGGTCGTGACCTTCCAGTAGAACCATCCCTTTTATTCGCCTGGATGACCAAGGGAAACCACGAAAACCCCGGTCAGAATGGCAGGCACGGCGATTGAACCCGGGCTTCCCGAATGCGAAGCCAGCGCGCTATGCACTGAGACACTTCGCTCGGTAGGGAGACCAGGGGCGGATCCAGCCGATCATAGGGGGGGGGGCGTGGCATCGTAGATTTTGTTAAATAATAAACACATTTGTTATTATATTGTATATTTATGTACTGTAGATACAGTCTGTACAATATTACTGTGATATTATTATGATACTATTCAATATAGTGGTTTAATTAATTACATAATTCGGACATGATTAAATAGTTAAATAAAGTTTGTCAAATAAAGAAAAGTAAAGGGAAACTCTCTGCCTTTCTTTGAGGGGGGGGGGGCATGGGCCCCGTGGATCCGCCAGTGAGGGAGACCGTAGTGGGGGCTAAAGGGGACTGGTGGCTGCCCGGAAGTCGGAAAGTGGGCGGCATGCATACAGGCAGGACTTTCGCGTCTGCCCCGCCCCACCCCACCCCGTGCTCGTCAGCGCGGCGCGGCGCGGCGCGGCGCGACGCGGTCGTCATGAGACTCCGCGTGACGCGAGCGCCGCCGATGGCCTCGGCCTCCGCACCCCCCTCCACTACCGCCGCCGCCAGCGCCCCGCGCGGCAGGTATGCCGACTGGCGGCTCCGGACGGCGCGCGGCGCGGACGAGTGTTGGGGCGGGCGAGTGCCTCACCTGCGGGCGAACCGAGCCGACGCCGACCCGCGCACCTCCGCCCTCGCGCCTCGCGTGACCTCCGCCCGCCACCCTCAGCAGGCGGCCGCTGCTTCGCGCCCTTCGCACCAAAGGGCCCGCGCGCCGCGCCCTCAGGATCTTCTGCCTCTCTCCAGCGACTCCGCGCCGCGCCGCCGTCGCCGCCGTTGTTGACGCGGGCACAGGTGAGCAGACAAGATGGCGACGCGCCACCGCTGACGGTTGTTGTTTGAGCGCGACGAAGCGTCTGCACGCGTGGGACGAGGAGGGGGAGGGGAGGGTGTGCGCACCCTCCCGCTCACCTCTCCCACCAGCCCCGCCCCGTCTCGCAAGTGCGATTCCTGCGCAATCCCCCTCCTCTGGGATTCTCGCTTGTTCGGCGACGCCCATCCAGACGCGCCCGTTTCCTCGTGCGACGGTTGGCAGCCCGCAGTGCTTTGACCCTGCGATTCGAATCCTCCCGTTCGCGCAGCGTTTGCTTCTGCGTTACCAGCGGCAGGCATTTCGTAACTCCGGTTTGTTTTCTCTCGTCTCGCGTTGCAAAATGAAGTGAGGAGCAGGCGTACCACCTGGATGTTTGTTTGCACACGCACAAATGTGCGTGTACTTTAATATGAGGGAAGCAGCCTTATTAAAAAAATGCTTATTTGTATTTCGTTTTTTGTATCGTGTAGGTTGAGAGTATCAGAACACATTTGTCAGAAGGAAAATAACTTCTGCACGTTGCATTAAGGGTTTTAATGTTTTTCCTCGTCATCAGCCTCTTTGTACGTCGGTAACACGTTCAATTTTGTTAGGCATTTTTTTGGTAGTTTTAAAACTGCAAAAAATAGCAAGTGGATGTGTTTACTTTAATACAAATACGAATATTATAATTGTTTTCATCTTTTCCATGAATTGCGCTAAAAACGTAACGGATATGTAGAACGCTTACACGAATGTAGTACAAGCATTCTACATTCTCGATGCGCTAAACGAAGGAAATTCTTGTTGGAGGATTTAACGGTTTACTAATGCTCTCGCCTAAATAACGATAGTTAAAGTGTTACAATCAAAGGAATTGTTAGAGTGAATTTAACATAAATAATTACCTTTGTCTTAAAAAAAACTACCCATCCCTTTACTTCTGCGTTATAAAGTAATCTTCGAGCGGATTTAGCACGAAATATTTGCAAAAACTAATCTCGTATCGAACCCAAGTAACATATTAGTAGTTTGGTTTAAAAATTAGTGGGGGCGTGGCGTTGATGATGCCATCATTAATGCCAACATGTCTTCTGCTCATTGCTTTTGGTTTCTATTCTGTAAGGGAGCTCAACTGCGTTGTGCCTACCGCCAGTGGTTGTGGCTGCGAACTAAAATAGATAAATCAATATCGGAATATTTGTGGCCGCTAGGAGACCGAAAGGATTCTATACAATAAACAAAGAAATGCGATTCTACTATAAGCTCTTCGCTCAAAACGCAGTAGGTATTTACGCGTTATCCACGCAAACGAGCAGTATTTTAAACGCGGAACAGCGCTGTGCGATGAAATCCTCAGCGACGCCGCCGAGCTGTGGGGAGGAGGGAGCGGCGGCCCTCCAGGCCACTTCCGCCTGGTCGTTCCGGCAGGCAGGCGGGCGCACTTACTCGTTGCGCCCCTCCCCTCCCCCTTCCCCCCCTCCCCTCCTCACTCGT